AAATTGCCTAAATTTTGTTATTTTAAGTCCTAAGCCAGAGTTATATGGATAGACCGCTCAGTTTTGGATTTCTAAGCGTCCAAGTGTCAACGAACGAATTGTCCGTTTAGAATTCTCCAATCCGACGGGGACGCCACACGCTTCGTTACGTCTATCTCGGTCATTGTGCCATGTTAATGTTACCGAACAACTCGAAATGACTACACCTGCAGTCAATCCAATCCAATAGGAAGCCTACTATAAAAGTTCTAATCGGTACTACATAGTACTGTAGATCTAGAATCTAACAATAATACTGTTATTATATCTAAAATTGAACATCACACTTTATTTCCACATAATTCTAATTAGAATTAGGCAATGGGCTTGTCCACAGATTAAGTGCGTCGTTAAGTTTTTACTATAAGGCTACTATAATTTGATCCTCCATTCTCAAGGAAATTGTGAGAAGGATTGGTTACCTGTCTAGCTACGAGAGAGAGAGAGAGAGAGAGAGAGAGAGAGAGAGAGAGAGAGAGAGAGAGAGAGAGAGAGAGAGAGAGAGAGAGAGAGAGAGAGAGAGAGAGAGAGAGAGAGAGAGAGAGACAGAGAGAGACAGAGACAGAGACAGAGAGACAGAGACAGAGACAGAGAGACAGAGACAGACAGAAACAGACAGAGACAGAGAGAGAGACACACAGAGAGAGAGACACAGAGAGATAATTTGATCCTCCATTCTCAAGGAAATTGTGAGAAGGATTGGTTACCTGTCTAGCTACGAGAGAGAGAGAGAGAGAGAGAGAGAGAGAGAGAGAGAGAGAGAGAGAGAGAGAGAGAGAGAGAGAGAGAGAGAGAGAGAGAGAGGGGGGGGTCTGAAAGAGAGAGAGAGAGGAGGGGGGGGGCAGAGAAGAATTTCCGTATACGAGTTGTCTTCATGGAGCTTCTTTTATGGCTAATTTTTCCTGTTTGAAGAGCAGATTCTGTCGCAGTGCTTGCTCTCTAGTCACTAGCATAATAGTTCTTTCCTTTATCATTTTCCTCCATGTTTTCCAATCCTCGGTTATTTCTTCACAGATGCTGACATCTACTCCAAGTTTAGATAATCTGTTTTTTGCAGATGTCTTTGTACCTCAGTTTTGACCTTCCCCTTGGTCTCTTTCCCTGGGCAAGTTGTCCATAGAGAAATTGCTTCGGAATCCGGTTGTCGTCCATTCTCTTGACATGGCCCAGCTATCTCAATCTTCTTAAGCACAAGATTATTTGTAGGGTTGATTCATTATGAGCAACAAGAGCAGCATCACCGGCAAAGAAAAGGTCTCGTATTGTTGTTTAGTTTGTTCATTTTGGTCTTGGCTCGAAGTCGAGCAAGATTGAAAAGTGACCCATCAGTTCTCCAGTGAAAGAAACTGAAGTGCTTGTAACTCTAAAAACATGGTTTAACTTGGTTGGAAGACTCTAGAAGTAATATGATTTTTTAAAAGCTCAACTAAACCTCATATAATACATCCCCACCTAATGTATGGCCTAATTAAATAACAAATTTTTCATAGAAAGTCATCAAGATGAGGTATGCCATAGCAGCATCCAGTATCAACAGGCATTAATTATTCTCTTGTCCAAGCACCATTATGAGGCTTTAGAATGCTCTACCCAATGAAGCTAAAGCTCTGGCTAGCTAAAAATAAACTACATAAAACCAAAGCACAATACACTGCATATTAAATTGGACTTAACCGTGGTTTAACTTGCGCACTGGTGACGTACTCAATTCTAGATTGTCATAGAACTTGTTGTAGTCAGATGGCACAACAGACTTCATTTCTTGCATGTGTTTGAACTTTCTACCCCGGTACAGAGGCTGTATGTCTTTATGGAGAATGTCTGTGGACTCGCCACGCTTCAAAAGCAGATGTGACCAGTCATCATCAAATCTCAGTTTGTATTTAATTTGACCATCTGGTGTGTACTGAAGTGGTCTAATTAAACTCTAGTTGGTTAGTTTGATGAAATCAGAAAATATATATGAGTCAAATACTTGACAACATATGGCTTCACTTTCCTACTTTCTTCCATTAGCCTGACATAATCAGCTGGGTAGCAGATGTGCTGTGAGCACTGTCCACCTCCATCTGTGTATAGCCCTTCTCTAGGAATGTTAGTGTTACAGTTTTACCATTGAGAGAGCTGAAATGTAACAGTGCAGAACTCATTGTGACTTTGCAGTTCTGATACAACAACCACATCCATCTGAATATAATGATCAGGAGTCACACAAGGAGCAAATTCATTTGCAGTCAGAGCACCTTCGCATTCATTTGAGACACAACATACACAGTCCTTGCTCTCTGGATCATATACTGTGAAATTTTGTACATTCAATTTCGTCTTGTAGTACAAAGCAGAAGCCTTGGTGCGTGGATATAGCAGAACTGATTGCAGGTCCATTGTGATGTATTTGATTTAGGGGCTGCCCATGCATTTTTCCTTGTCTGCTGTCTTTTTTGTATGCCCCTCTTTCACATTCCCCTTCTCAAAGCCCACACAAAGATCACACCTATCTTTTCGAGGACAGAACAATGACAGGTTCATAGAATTGATCTCCTCTTTAAACTTAAAGGTAGAAAGTACCCACCCCCCCCCCACTCATACTTTTCTTTATACAAACGGCAGTACACTGCTCTGGAAAACAGGTTCCGAGTATAACTTACTGGAGTCCTTCAGGAAAAAATGAGATGGCAACTTGGGCAGATCACGAACAAACTGTTTAAGTACCTTTGATTATGTAGTCTCCTCCCTCGCCCCTTTTCTCTGAACTGGAACCTCACCCTCTGCTACACCCAACCCACATGTGAGAACATTGTGAACACACTAGTTACAACAGGACTTAAGAAGAAAGCCTTACACACTTTAACTCTGGCCCCATTCACTCGCAGATGGTATGTCATGGACCACGATCTTCTGCTTTCTCTCTCTTTTTCCTCCACAGGCTCGACACAGTCGACCAACCCTTTAACAAAAGCAGACTTTTCCGATTTTACATTTATAATCAAACTCCTCCTTTGGAGCAAAACGCTATCACCGTGATCTACAATGGCGGGCTACCTAAACGAATTAGACGGTTAGAATTCTTCAGTCATGGAAGCCAGTCGGAATATACGGTTAGAATTTCTCTTTAAAACAAGACTTTTGCTTGTCAAAATTGTTCAAGATTTTAATAGGACGTAGCCATTCGTCATGTCGATCTATTTTAAGGAAAAAAGCAATTCGAGAAAATTTCGGAGTTAGACGGTTAGAATTCTCGGCCGACGATATTATACAACCTAATTTTCAGTATGATTTGTGGAATACAACTGTAATGTTTATTTGTGTATTTTTCAACTTTGGTTGCGGTAAGGATATTTTGTGTTCAGTGTGTTCGTGTGTAGATCTATGTCTAGATCTAATATCTAATCTAGATCTAGATCAAAATAAAAAATCATGAAAGTATTGAAAGTAGATTTCTCCTGCAGTGGATTTAGCACGCACGCCGAAGGATAAGTGTATTTTGTGCTCAGTGTCTAGATGAGATCTAGAATCTAGATCTGGAATCTAGATCTAAATCGAGATCAAAAAGAATCATGAAATGAAAGTAGAATCTAGATCTGTGATATTTCAATAATCTATTGAATATTGAAAGTGGATTTTTCTTGCTGTGCATTATAGATTCTAAGACCTAGATCTAGACTAGATCTATATGTGAATCTTAGATCGAGATCAAGAATGATGAAAGTATTGAACGTGGATTTTTTCCAACTGTGAATAGATCTAAAGTCTAGAAATAGGCTATCAGTGAATCGAGATCGAGATCAAGAATCTTGAAAGTATTCTTGAAAGTGAATTTTTCCTGCTGTGAATAGATCTAGAAATCTAGGCCATCTGTGACGCCTGTCTGTTGTTAAAAATGGGAATTTTTAAACTTAGATCTATCTATGGGTCAAGGCTCCTTCTTTCAATTATTGGCCTTTGTCTTTATAATCCTTCGAGATCTAGGCTAGACCTAGAATCTAGATTAGGTTCTTCTAGGAAGCAACAATTGGCATGTAGGCCTAACTCTTTTTTTTTTAAAGTGATTGAGCTAGAACTTTAGGAGAAAATGCTACGCCTTCGAAGAGGGGGAAGAAGTCTTACCCCTAGAGGTAGTCAAGAGGGGTGCTACATGGATAAATTCAAGGTAAAATATTTATGTTTTGTTTCTTTCCTGTTTTCAGTCTTTTTCCTCTTCTTAACTTTCCTAATACTTCTTCATCATTATTCCGTTCATAGAACGGGTGCTTTTACTACTAGTTCGAATAAAAATCTAATCTAGAATTATAGGTCGGTTCTCGAGCCGTCAGGGGCAGCTTGCCGTTGTGAAGTCAGTTTAGCCGCACCGCTGCCCACGGCTCGGTGTAGCGAATGAGTTAATACAATTTATTATATAAGATAAGTGAAAATCTCCTGCAAAATCAATTATTCCATTGATTTCATTGTTGACTTTTTATCTAATGACATCCCAAACATGTCCAAATGTTGCGAATGAAAAGTTAACGTTTCCTTTTTACAGATCAATAAACTTGAAAAATCCATAACTTGGTTGTTTCTTAGTGGATTTTTATAATTTGGTTTCTTTTTTCCAGGTTTACCAGGATCGATATGAATATCACGAATAGCACTTCAATATTACTAAAAGTTATTTTTTAAGTTTGGAATACTATAACAATCATTGGGAATCTGAATTTTGCCCAAGCAATCTACTTCAGCAGACCAGCTCTTCATTCACATTCAACTGCCAAAATGCAACATTCACACTGTCCCCAACCTGCCTACGGGTTCTTTTTCCTTGTTTGAGGACAAGACATGTGGTCCCATCTTCTCTGAGATCAAGAGTTTGAAAATCCAAAACTATTCCCGGATATCAAGCCAGTAAAAAAAAGAGCATTTATGAGGTATTTTCTCCAAAGAGGCACAAAGAGTACCTTTAAATTACCGTGCTCTCTACTTACAAGTGTGAGTCCTTCGATATCCTTGTAGTCATAGGAGCATAGTTTCCTGTTGGTGCTTGGGTCCAGCTGGTCCAGGGAACCCTGGTTGACCTCAAGGATGACGGGAACCCTGTTCTCTGACCAATGGGCCTTGAAGCAGTTGAACCGCTTGGCTCGGTGATTGGAAGGATCAGCAAACTGATCTCGGAATCTCTGCATACAAAAAAGATGAAATTTTTTTTTAACTTGTGTCTTGCTTATGAAACTTCCTTTACCCTGCTCCCAAAATTTCTACTGGACATATTCTGACAGGATGTTAAACAGCAAATCAGTACAGAAATCCTGAATGATTCAATTACCATGCATTTACTCCAATCCACAATATTCTGAGGGTTCACGTACCCTAATTGTGTACATTTAGTGGGTTGTTTTTTGTTTTTTTTCTTTCTTATTCTTAGGAATGCTTCTGCACAAGGACCATCTGTGAGGGTAGGTCACGGTAAAAGAATATAATATAGCTAAGCCTGATCCTGGAGTAATTCAATGGAAAAACTTCTACTTAAAAGCATAAAGGCCACCTATGACACTGATCGATTGCAAAGGACTGTAAATGTTTTATGTCCCTATCCACAAAACTAAGATAATCTAGGAAACAGGACACTTTGACCCTTGCATAGTAGGAAACAACATCCCAGCAAACTGAAGGGAATGATCTCTTAAATAACTTCCCCATGTGGGAATGAATCGGACTTCTTTTGTGTGCAAGGTCAAAGAGCCTAACTATTACACCACAGATGCCAGATTGTCTAGGAACGAGTTACAATGACCTGTATTATGACATGTGACACTATTAACAAACGGACATGAAACATAAAAGGGGGAAAAAAAATTCATGATTCAGAGTAAAGATTAACACAATACCAACCATTTACAGTGTTGGGAAAAAGACAGACCAGAAAGAAACAACATAGGGACAGAAAGGTAGATGCAAGACCAACCAGTGGCACCCTCCAACTGTCTACTAATCAGGTTTTGAAATATTCCACTCTACACATACATGTTTTGGTGGGGGGGGTTTTAATAAAAGTAATCATGAAACGCTTATCATCATGAGAACATAGTGGAAATAAAGACTGTAAAACATTCTGTCTGACAAGGTAGAAGAACATAGTATCTGGTTGAGCTTAAAAAGATGGAACAGTCAGTAATTCTGACAATATGGAGTAAATTTTGATGTCAATGAAAAGAGCTAGAGAATTGCCTGTTACCATTGAAAAAAAACGGTCATTCAGAATTGTTGACAGCCCTCCAGCAAAGAAGTTACTGATTCATATAACAAGGAACCAAGTAAGTCTCCATTAACACTGAATAAAAGTAGAAGGAGCAGATCCCCACTACCCATTAAAAAAAAAGGATTAGGAGGAGGAAAAAAAAAGATTTTTTTTTTTTTTAAATATAACCAATATCAACAGTTTCAGCCAATATCACTATAAAATCCCAATTAAACTATCCATTATCAGCATAACAGAGATAACACAAAAGAGCATGACATGGAACAAAAAAATAACCAAGATCATCTACCAGTGCCTCTGTGAGTAAATCTGCCCTGTGGTCAGTGGAGAACTTCATGGAGTCTGTTTTCTTGGCTCCCTTTTTCATGGAGATGACAAACTCCTGAGTATTGGGGGCCTTGATATTGGGCACAATGCCGATGAACTCATTGTAAGCCCACTGTGGAAAAGAAACAAGTATATAAAAGTTATCATTTCAAGAGTACAAACATAATGTAGACAACTTCATGGAATAAGACAATAGCTATCTTTCCTTTCAACAGAAAGAGTACACAGGATAAACTATTCAGGTACTGTCAAAACGTAATTAATAAATTTACTTCACAAGTTTAAGCACACATACAAAAATGGTAAAAGAAAGTTTTCCTGTACGAAACTGACGTCTTGTGTAGAGATACTCACTGTCTAAAAGAAAAGAAAATTAAAATACCTGATTTGTAATTTCAAACGTGCCAGGGTTGTACGTAGTAATTCCATGAGTCCCAACAGAAAAAATTCTTTTATATCTGTTGATAACAATATTAAAGAATAACATCAATGTGGCAAGGGCACAAAAGCATGGATAACAACAATTTCTATTTCAATTCATAATCATATCATTCAGCTGGTCATAACTGGTGATACATACTTTTTTCAACCCGTATGTGTTCATAAAACGAAAATACTTTAAAAAGTACTCTTCAGACAAAAAACAAAACAAAACAAGACAGACAAAACTACAAACAACAATGAGAAGCTGGAGGAGATGAGCTTAAGAGAATAAATGCTTCTTAGGCTTAAAAGTAACATTTTACCAATGTATACTACTGTTTCACATGGAACTCTTTAAAAAAACATCACCTCTCTAAAAATGTATTATAAACCATGTGCCTACTCTCTTTTCCTTTAACTTTCTCAAAACTTTTTAAAAAATGAATCAGAAACTTGTGGAATGAATCTAATGACATGTGCTACAGGACAATGTATTTCACAAGCTTGCTATGAAGTGAAGGAGCTGAGCCAGAAGATACAGCTACAAAGAATATTAAGAGGAAGGAGGCAATCAATAAAGAGCTAATTGTAAAGTCACTTATTACTTGATGAAGCAGTGACCTCTCCCTCCCTCCCTCCCTCCCTCCCTCCTCACTTCACTTATGTCTCAAATCCAATTATTTTTATGAACCTTTTTTTTTTCATCCTTCCAAGATGATGCCCTGTTGGTAATAAAGATCCCATTCTCATGCACAAAATATAGAAAAACTACAACAAAATTATTAGCTCCGACACATTAGTTAATTCTGAAGTAGCGTTGAAAATATCTTCTCATTCTAGGAAAGACTAAGAGGCAAGCAAGATGGGAAAAGAACAACCAGTACTTACTTTCCCTTCCATGAATGTTTTGTAATGAAATAGCAGGCCACATCTTTGTTGTCCTTGAGAGTTCCCATATTTCTAGCTGTTGGCAATTAAAGAAAGTACACATAATGGGTCACAATTTTAATCACAAAAAACATGTGTAAGTGACCTTTCAATCAAAAATAAATCTAAATTACTGAATCCATACAGAATTGTAGAACAAGTCTCTATCTAAGATTCCAGTCCCCGGAAAAAGACAACCTCCCCAACCAATTTCTCCTAAAAAAAAAAAATTGAGACTTGTCACAGAGCCCACATCCATATAAGCATTTATTAAGCCGTGACAATCACTGGAAAGAGACCTAGAAAGAACCGACATTGTAACTTGTCTGGTCATTTCGTTAGACGCGCTAAAGTCAGCAATGCTAAATTGTAAAATTTTTTGGACAAGTATGAATGAAAAAAATCAATATATATTTTTAAAAAACAGCACAACAGAAACTGTCAAACTTTTGAAAGATGAACGACATAACATTGGCGCCGATGCTTAGAAAAGATGGTATCAGCGCATATAATAGGAAACTAATTTTGTTACTTAATAATAGATAGCGTTTGCATAGCACAAATCCCAGCTCAACAGCAGGCTCTATCTATGCGCTTCACAATCTATACTATTACCCCAGCAGACCTGAGAGCATTCTGAAACAACCTCAACTTCCTGGGAAGCATACAGTGCAAGCAACCATTTATAGGCCCTAAAACACTAACATACTGACAAGATCTTTCGCTGTCTATGGCCGGGTACCCATTCCCACCTGGGTGAAGAGAGGAAAATTTGTGTAAAGTGCCTTTCCCAAGGACACTAGGCTTTATCCATCTAGCACGCAATTCGCTATGAATTCCTATACATACAACTTAATGTGTCTAATATAATCGCGAATATTCGCATATTTTCTCTAAAGTTTATCAAAATTACCCTGAAGTCTCTCTATGAAAAAGTACAAACCAATTTTAGTGCCTGAATCCATCTACAATCATCATAATGTAATACACAAATAGTATCTGTTACACTCCATAAATTCCTGGCTCTTACAACGCTAAGTCTAGGTTTTGTACGTTGACAAAATTTATACAGGGATGACTGCTCATAATTGTGTTATAAGAATAATTTCTAGCTATCCAGTGACGCTGAATCACCACCAGACTTTTCTAGCTTTCATTTTTATTTCTATGATCATTTGCAATAACTGACAATGTTCTGATTTCTTTACATTTATAAGTCTCCGCGCATATATGTCCAACACAAAAACTAACAATGAATGTGTTAGCTGTCATTATTTTTATTCCATACAAGAAGTTCTTCTCTACCCATGTATTGTATATACACAGTTTTGTGCTTTTAAAAAATCGCATGATACATCTTTCTTAGTTGTATGCAGGCTGCCACAGACACAACATGATTTATGAACAAATGCAGAGTAACTTTCTCTTGTTTAATGGTAGAACAAGAGCCAACGCTGAGTGTCTTTTGTTAAAAAATGCAGCCGTGCATCTTTCTTTTCTTATAACTTGAGTATTACTACTTACATCATGCAGATTTAAGATTTCTCATGGTAAAAGACATGATATTCGTATCAGTTTAACACAGATTTTGGAAAGATCTGTCTTGCCGTTTTAAAATAAACGATCATTTTTTCTTAAGTATGTAACTAAAATAGGACTAATTGGGTACTTTACAAACACTTGTCTAGAACAAAAACTAGGCACAGAAATCAACCATTTTAACGCAGAATAAATCTCAAGACATTGACCTTTTAGTACATCAGCATAATGGTTTGCTGAGTGGGATGGGGAAGAAGTTATATCGTTTCAAACATAGACAAAAATGCGAACTTCTTAACCGACACTGGCAAAGTCTCTTCAGGGCCCATTGACCCCGTGACCCCGAGCCGGGAAGCTCCGGCTGGCAGCTGATCCACGCTACTAAAGGTAACAGAATCGGGCAAAAAGTGATGCCGTGTACAGCAAGCACACCTCTGTGACTGGCTCAAATTCTATGACGTATTTCCGCCATTTATGTTTGTCGTCTTCTGTGGCTTCCCTAGTCAGTTGACTAAATCTCACTGTGGCGGGCCCTGTGGGTGCTCACGCGCTTGTGTGTGTGTGTGTGTTTCTGTGTGTGTGTGTGTGTGTGTGTGTGCGTGCGTGTGTGTGCGTGTGTGTGTGTGTGTGTGTGTGTGTGTGTGTGTGTGTGTGTGTGTGTGTGTGTGTGTGTGCGCGCGCGCGAGCGCGCACTGCGCACGCACTTGTGCGTGAGGGTGGGTGTACAACTTGAGAAGATAAATCTATGGAACGAGAATAGCTGAGATTGTTTTTGTAAAAAAATAATACAAATCAATACAAAAAAAACAAAAACTGCAATATCTAATCAACTGGACTGGCGAGGGAAACCCAAGAGTCTTGGGGGAAACCCTGGAAGACTACAAAAATAGGGCAGAAATACGTCATCTATATTTGGGCCAATCACAGAGGTGCGCAAGTTGCTCGCTGTAGCTTCATGTTAAGATGTTGTTTGGCAGACTGCTGTACAAAGGGTGACCTCATGCTGAATCAAGAGAACCTTTATGCCTCTTGTAAAAAGGTGAGATTCAGAGAGTTTTTTCGTGTATCTAGATCAAACTCGTAACCCTAACATAGAGAACAGAATCCTAATTTAATTGTCATAGTTCTGAATGTACTGACTTAATTCTTCCTGTTTTACTCAATTACTTTTGATTTTAGGCGGATTTTACTTCATTTAAAGAAGCTATTGTTAACTGATGTATTTTATATATATTCACAAAACGCATTCCCACCTGGGTGAATATATACCAATGGAATATAATATATATGCATTTTGCCAAAAAAGGAAATATTAAAGGCCGGCTCCATTTCTTTGAACGTTCAGGAAAATAAACTTGAACTCTATTTCTCCGAACGGTTTCCGTTCTCGAGATTTATTGATAATAAGCGAATAGAGTGTGTGTGTGTGTGTGTGCGTGCGTGCGTGCGTGTGTGCGTGCGTGCGTGCGTGTGTGTGTGGAGGGATTTTTTTTCTACATGAAGGATTTTAGTTATTGCTGGGTGACTAAATGCAAAATAGGTTACTGCCAAGGTCGAGCAGTCTTGTTTTCTCGCAGTACCTTTTGGAGGTATTTTCAAATGAAGTATGTCCGGGAACGTTGCCTCAACCACGACTGAAGTATCTGAATATTCAGACATTTAAAAATCTCTAGAAATTGAATTTGATGAAAAAAATGCTTCTTCCCACTCCTCACAGAATGGCAGAATGAAAGGATGACGCCTAAATCTCGCTGATAACCCAAAAAAAACTCGAGATTGGAAACCGTTCGGAAGAATAGAGTTCAGTTTTATTTTCCCGAACATTCGAGAAATAGTCACTTCGAATATTAAATGTTGTCTACTGTTCATGAATTCAAGTACGCAGATTTCAAATTGCTAGCACGAAAAAACGTTACCATTCAATGTTGTCAGTTTAGTAGTGAAAAATATCAAAATATCAGTGCATCAACAGGATGAGTCCAACAGGAAAACTCTGGAAGTATCTCAGCTTGACTGAAATGGATATGTCACATTTTGTCACGAAACCCTTCATGTTTCTTGACTTGTCTTACGTGGGGGTTTTTATAACTTTTTGAGAAACTTATAAATTTATTAAAAACTTATCAGGCATGATCTTTTTAGAGGATTAGGTAAATTTTTACTTATATGCACCCATAGACAGATGCACTGATTTGAGGGCTAAACTGCTATAATTTTTGCGGCAGAACACACGTATGGCCACTAAAACCCTTGCAAATCAATTGTTTTCAAGTAAATATCAATCTTATTTGCTAAAACATCAAATCATTATGAAATGCAGGAGGGCATGCCCCCTGAAACCTCCCCATGTTGTTAAAAACAAGTCAAACATTACTTCGCCACTTCGGAGTACTGTAATATACTCTGTCATATTTTAAAATCTTTCCGTACATAGTTTTTTGGGGTCTAGACAATTAACTTGTGGCTCGCTTTGGCTATGCAGGTGGTGTACAAAATAACTTCATAGAAGCATAACCATCACTCAAAACGTAACATATCGCCGGCCTTGTGATAAAACTGACTAACCCACAAAATATTAAAAAACTTTTTATTGGCCCTGTGGATAGTATTAAATTGTCCATTTCATATGCTCACTCAAAGACAAATCTGAATTTTGTTTAGAAATGTCTTTAAAACATTAGAAATAAAACCGTGTAAACCTGGCCCCCGTCGGATTTTATCCCGATAATTCCGACTATCCCACCTGCGAGGGAGGGACTGAGGGATGGCTGTTTTAGTCGCACTAATAAGGAGGGGCCACGTGCTATGTTTCCGACTAACCCCAGCTTAGACTCGTCTCCGGACTTTGTTTGACATCAGATTCACTCCTGTAACAGTCCAGAATCTGCTCAAGTAACCGTGGGAGCTCTCCAAAATGGAACATTTGTGTTATATTTCTTGTTGGTTTCATTGGTTGTTTTCTTTTTTTTTTCTTCGTTTTAATGCTGCTGATAATGTTATTAACTAATGACTAAAACTCCCCACTGTTCTCACAGAATTGTTCATCTTGTGACAATGCCGGTATTTCAAATGCATCTTTTAGGATTTTGTTTTATATGAAACTATTTTTTCTGTCCTCGGGCTCTGCTTTGTCTTTGTACTGGAAATTCATCGAATTGTGAAGGCATTTTCCCCTCTTCGGACTACTAAACTGTCGCTTCTCCTGATCATTTTTGTTGTTGTTTTTATTATCAATTTGATCATCCGATAGTAGGTAGCGTAAACACGGCCTCGCGGGCACTCGCGGCCTTCCGACCGTGTGGTATTTGTGAAATCAGGGTAATTCCGGTCGCTGTTTCTTTGCTCTTTCGCTATAAAACACCAAATGACGTACACCTTGTAAAAGTACAGCTTGTCCTCGTTACAATGGTGTAAGTTGTTTATATGTCTGATTATTAGGAGCTGGAGAATCGCCGACGAAATCGAAGCCCCTCGCAGCCGGTTAAAAAATTGAAAAGC